TGTTTTCTTAAGTTTTCGCGGGTACTTACATGTATGGTGTTCGGCTTGGTTCGGGTATTTTCCCACGTCATTGTAGTTCTTTTAAAGTTGTATATATATGAAGAAAACAAATATATATATACATATATACACCTTGATCAAATAAACAACCTTTATATTTCTTTATTACATTATTAGCCTATTTTCTAGATCAGATCCTATGATTGATAAAATGAGTCAACATCGTATTTTAAAATATTTGAAGATAGAGCTTGTATGGGTTCCATGTTTGTTTGTTTTATGCTATTGCTAAAATGCTAGGTGAATTCTGTGTCTCACCCTTGTGCCCTGCAAAGTTGTCACACTTCTTTAAGCTATTTTTATTCCAGGTTTTAGCAGGTCTGGATAACACGATTACGTATTAGAACTATTAATCAAAGCCTGATAATAGGTACATCCTTCCAATTTACTGTACATTTCAGAATGGGGAGGGAACTTAAAAATAAGAGATTTTGTAAGTGAGGCTGGAAGGATGAATCTGGAAGAACTTAGAAGCTGAAGGAAAAATTTGTCTCCATGAACAACTTTCATCTGTCAAAGTGTCAGGTTTATGAATACTTAGTATGGGTGGGCATAGGTTGATAACCCATAAAAATACTGTAATATTAAAGGAAAAAACATTATTTTGACTGTGAAGAAAAAATAAAAAATAAATAAAAAGAGCCCTAACAATAAGGAGGATCTATGGCAATGGATACCTGGTAATTAGCAGTAAGGTATACTGTGTTTTTGCCCCCAATTTCATTGTTCAGGGGCTTCCTATCTTGGTTCCAAATTCTGTTATGTCAGCATATATCTTTTCTTTCATAATTACTGTAAAAATTATGAGTATTTCCCCTTCTCCCATCTCAGAACACTAAAATTAGTTGCACATATTGTAGTAAACAATCTGGAAAAAGCTATCAAGGTTGCTATTGAACTACTATGTTCTGCTTCACAATGCATGTATACTGATATATTTATTGACTTACTTACTTTCTTTGCAGGGTTGGTTGTGTGAGCTGTTGCGTTGGAAAGAAAACCCAAGCCCTGAAAATCGAACACTTTGGGAAAATCTGTGCACCATTCGGCGATTCCTGAATCTTCCCCAACATGAGAGGGATCTCATCTATGAAGAAGAATCTCGGCATCATCACAGCGAACGTATGCAGCATGTTGTCCAACTTACTCCTGAGCCTGTACAGGTCAGTGCTTTGGTTATCCAATTTAAATGTTGTTGTTTTTTGCTCTATTTTATATATTTCAATTGATTTCTATTCCATCTGTCACCTGGAAGCTCAAGATAGCCAACATAATATTATTTTCTTCAGTTTTCCCTCTGAATAACAAATATAGTTATTAATCTAATGGTGTAGATAGAACTGAAGGAGATGATTAGTCTGAAATTATTCAGTAAGTTTTCATAGCTGAGACTGAATTTACCTTCTTGTTAGTCTAACCTTCTGTTTGGTGCATCATATTCCAAACTACATTCTGACATAATTAAGTATTGGAACAAACTATGTCTTGAGAAAGAATCCTAAAAACAATAAAAATATAAGAACATCAGAAAGATTTCTAAAACCAGAGAAATTGTTTCTTTATTCTAGGTTTAATTTCACATGTTATTAAAAATTGTATAACAATTTAAGTTTAGAGAAAAATTATCAGCCTTAAATGTATGTAGGCTCCTATTGTAGCTTGAAGCCATGTTTAGAACTAGAGTTTGTTTAGCAGCTGACTTGGATAATTTAGTCCACTTGGAAATCTTTAAATGCACAACATTTCTTCATTTTGTCATGATTTCTTGTGTTGCTTTTGTAAAATGATATTCTTGTATTTGTTAGCCAGTTCCAGGGTTTTGAATAAATATCTGAAATATGAAGAAAAGGATCTAGAATGAGTTTGTAGCATCTTGGACATTCCCCAACAACTTTGTATGTGTGTGTGTGTGTGTGTGTGTGTGTATGTATGTATGTATGTATAGTATTTAGGTTTCTTCGGGTATTTTCCCACATCTTAATATTTGTGCTTTTATTATAGCGATGTTTCGGTAATAAAAGCACAAATATTAAGACATGGGAAAATACCCGAAGAAACCTAAATACCATACATATAAATACCCACGAAAACATATATATATATATTATTAATAGCCTTGTGTATCATCTATCAGATAGATAGAAAAACCACAGAACCATTATATACTCTTGCATCAATCAATATGTACTGACTTTAAATATTGTAAGTGGTACATATATATCAAAAAGGGTTGAATAGATATCTATATATTGTTAAATAAAATATGTCTCCCATCCTTTTTCTAATCTAATATTTTGTAAGTAGCATTCTTAAATGAATTCAATAAGCAACACATATGTAAGACTATATAGGTGGATGTTTCTGTGATTTTCCTATCTATCTACCTACCTATCTATCTATCTATCTATCTGCAACAATAAATTAAAATATAGATGAAACCATGATATCTAGACTGTAATTGCACTGCAACATGAATAATGCGTATCAAACATGATCTTACACCTTCTATTATCTTATTTGGAGATGATCCACAAGGCTATTAATAATTAGTGGCGTAATGATAACTTAAAATAATAAAAATAAAATGCCTGATTTCAAGTATCCTGCAACATTTCAAGTGATAAGTAATAATCTTATCTTTGCCTCATTTGCAACAAAATCCAAATTCTATTCTTCAATTGCATTCTCAGTGAATGATAAATTTAATTTAGTATATTACATGGAGAGATATTAAATCTAATTAAATTTTATTAGCTTAGCCAAAATTAATAATCAAATCTAATTGTGAAAAAATATGTAATCTGAATATATTAGGATGATCTAAATATTTATTAGTCCCCTTATTGTTTTATATTTTCTATTGTATGTTGTATATTGTAAAGTAAATGTGATAATTTATTCCAATTTGCATGAAAAAGATAAAAGTCTTGAAATACATATACTGTATTTTATCTTCTAGATTTTATCATAGAAATAAGTGGTTTTAAAAGTTTTTCAAACTGTGCAACTTTGTTAGTTAAAAAAATGCTGGACCCTCTGATTAAAAGGCAAAACTCTAGTGACGGAAAAATGACCGTGTTCAAGTGAACCTTTTTTTAAAACCTTCTGTCTTATACAAAACTCCAACACATTCTCATGAATCCTAGAGTTCCTCAGAACACATTTTTAAAAATCCTGATATAAATAGCTTGGTGTAGTGGTGAAAGTGCTGACCTATAAACAAGGAGACTGTCAGGGTTCCGAGGGATGCCCTAATTAATTCATGAGCCTTGAGAGTTGACAGAGACTCTGAATTTAGGCCTCCCTTAAAAATGGAAGTTGGATGACCTTGGACTTTTCTGAGCCTAATTCACTTCACTTATGTAGCTGTTTTGGGGAAGAATGGAGAAAGGAGCATTAGGTATGTTCCATCCAAAAAGTTGGATCAAAATCTGTCTTCACTAACCAACCGCAATTGGGATTGTCAATTCCATTGTTAAGTGATGTGATTATAAGATGAAAACTCATGTGACCATGCCTATCTTATGGTGGCGGTTCTGGCTGTGGTTGTTAAGTGACTTACTGTGGATCATTAAGCACAATGTCATGTAACTGTGACATGCAACTTCTGCCTGGGATGGTCACAGATAGCAATTATGTGACTGCAGGAGACTGCATTTGTAATGATTGCAATGCAATGTAATGACAGCAGGATAGAATCAAGATCATATGAAGTGTTAGTACCCTTTACAGTGCCCTGGTAAGACCACACTTGGAATATTGCATCCAGTTTTGGTTGCTGCAATATAAAAAAGATGTTGAGACTCTAGAAAGAGTGCAGAGAAAAGCAACAGATGATTAGGGAACTGGACACATAAGCATATAAAGAATGGTTGCAGGAATTGGGTATGTCTACTTTAATGAAAAGAAGAACTGGGGTGACATAATAATAGTGTTCCAAAATTTAAGAGACTGCCACAAAGAAGAGGGGATCAACCTATTCTCTAAAGCTCCTGACAAGAAGGAATGGATGGAAACTAACCAAGGAGAGAACCAATCTAGAACCAGAGAGAAATTTCCTGACAGTTAGAACAACTAACTAACAGTTGGAATGGCTTACCTTCAGAAGCTGTGGGTGCTCCATCACTGGAGTTTTTAAAGAAAAGATTGGACAACCATTTCTCTGAGATGGTATAGGGTTTTTTGCTTGAGCAGGGGAGTGGACTAGAATACCTCCAAGGTCCCTTCCAACTCTATTATTCTTATGTTCTTGGCTTGGCATGCCAGTTGCGATGATGTGACATGAGAACACTGCAATGGCCACAACTTTAAATGAACAAATAGTGAGTCAGCAAGGACTGCCTGTACACACATGTGTGCATGCACATACATCCTCACACCGACATAGACAGTACTGTACTGTTCCAAAAGCTATTAAGGAAGAGAGAAGGGAATGCTCTGCCCAGAGTCACGTGCTTGTGGTATGAGTGGCTCTATAAGTTAGATAAATATGTAGGCTGAGGGAAAAAATTACCACTGACCAGAAAGTTTCATTTTGTTGGGACTTTGGCTTTGACTATCGAGTGTCAGTATGATTAAACCAGATACATTTTATAGTGAAATGGCTATTTTGAAAAGCTCATGAAATCTTAGGTTCCATTTTTTGTTATACTATCAGCTTGAATGTCCTAGGAAGGGGAGAAAAAGCTGAAAGTGTCATGCAATCCTATTTTGTGGATCCCTATTTACAAATTATATCCCTAACATTCAGTGGCCAAATGGCAAATTATGGTAGTGCCATTTTTCTATTTAAAAGAAAAGAAAATAGCATTGTTAAGCATTTTAATCTTCCCCAAACCTTACAAAAATGTTGAAAAGTGGCTGAATATTGTAGCCTTCCCCCCCTAATAATCACATTGAATTATTGCTATGCTCTTTGGCATCATTGGCATTAAAACAATAATCCTTCTATCATAAAAATAGTTACCACAATTTTGTTGTATATTATTTTTTTTGCAAGATTAATAACACAAAGAAGGAAAAATCTTGTTCTCAAATACATTATCATTATTTACTTGCTTTTTAATCTTTTTATTTTAAGAAAAGAAAATTAATTCTGTGCATAAATTGGCCAAATAAAGCAGTGAAAGTGAGAATTTTTTTTGCAAAATTGGTGTTTCTATTAATGTCTCTATTTCCTTATATAATACTATTTTAAATGAGGAAATAGAGACATCCAGTTTTGCAGAAAAAATTCTCACCAATATTTTATATTGGAAGTTAATGGAAAATTCTGTACTTGTCAACAGTGGTGTCCCCCAAGGCAGTGTTTTAGGACCAACTCTCTTCATACTCTACATAAATGACCTCTGTGATCATATTAAGAGCAACTGCATTCTCTTCGCTGATGATGTAAAGCTATTCAACACCACAGACAATACTGCTACCCTTCAAAAAGACCTCGACTATGTATCAGAATGGTCAATCAAATGGCAACTTCAAATCTCAGCAAATAAATGCTCTGTCTTACATATTGGCAAAAAAAATCAGAAAATAAAATACAAGCTGAATAGTCAAGACCTTGTTGAGGATCCAAATTCTGTCAAGGACCTTGGAGTACTCATCTTTAATGATCTAAGTGCTAGAGCCCACTGTAACTACATAGCCAAAATGGCATTAAGAGTTGTTAATCTAATCCTATGTAGCTTCTTCTCTGGTAATATCACACTACTAACTAGAGCATACAAAACATTTGCTATACCTATACTTGAATACAGCTCATCAGTCTGGAACCCATGTCATGTATCTGATATTAACACAATTAAGAAAGTCCAGAAATATTTCACAAGAAGAGTTCTCCACTCCTCTACTCATTGCAGAATATCTTATGCCACCAGACTTGAAACTCTAGACCTAGAAAACTAGAACTACGCCGCCTTCGGTCCGATCTAAACATAGTATATAAAATCATCCATTGCAATGTCCTACCTGCAAATGAATACTTCAGCTTCAATCATAACAATACAAGAGCACACAATAGATACAAACTCAAGGTTAACTGCACCAAACTTGATTGCAGAAAATACGACTTCAGCAACAGAATGGTCAATGTTTGGAATACTCTACCTGACTCTGTGGTTTCTTCCCCAAACCCCAAAAACTTTAACCTTAGACTGTCTACTAT